ATAAACATCATTTCCCTTATAAATTACAAAAAATTACTGCATCATGTCCAATTATATTGCTGCTGCAATTCTCATCTAAACATCTGACAGACCTAAAAAACCTACGGAGTAAATTAAAGTAAATTGATCAGAGGATATAATCAGCTAACAACTCATTAAATTAGAGGTGCAACTGCTGCTGGGTTTATAATTAGGTTTGAATGGTTCAAGGGCTGAATGAGTGGTTTGCCAGTGGGAGTTTCAATTTAAGGCCCCAAGGACACTCATGTTACCATGCGCAAGAGAGACGTTCCCCCTAGCACACAACATTCTTCACATAAAGTCTACTTCATTGTTTTCATCCTTTTTTAAACAACCTACAGTACCTATTAAAGACAGTTTTATATGTGCACGATCCTTCGCAGTAAAGCACTATTTAAGCAATAGTGAATATATATATATATGTATTTCATATGTTTGTTGTTTGATTTATCATCTACGGGTTTATGTCGAATTAATTTGATGGCCTGGTCCCAGTTGGCTTGTTAACTCAATTGGTAGAGCGCTGCACTAGTATCACAGAGGTCAGTGGTTCGAATCCCGTACAGGCCTGAATTTTTTTCAGGTCTGATTTTCACTATTGCTTAAATAGTGCTTTACTGGAAAGGATCGTGCACATATACGTTTCATAACCGCATTTCATATATATGTATTTCATAAGTTTGTTGTTTAAAGACAGTTTTGAATATTATTAACAGAAAAAAAAAATGATCATCATCATCCCTCACTAACATTGTTGCATTTTCTTAATATTACATTAACAAACAATGCATAATTCTGGGCTGATAAAATTCTTGAAAGCAGTTTTGTCTACAAAATCATGGCCAAAAATGTGTTTAACTAAACACTCATTACTACATGACACTGTGCAATTAACCCTTGCAAAATGGATCTTGGAATTCCTAGGAATTCCTAGGAATTACTTGGAATAAGAGGTGTGAATTTTCATGGTAAATTCAGACCAGGAATTCCTAAGAATGGTAATTTAAAGCATGAACATGTGTCCACTATGATTCCTTACTTCCTAGTTTCATTATAAGCAACAGACTATCTTGAAGAAAAAGAAAATCCACAGACAACCGAGATGCTTTTAAAATTTATTTAATTGTCATAATTTTGATCAATATAGATACTCACCGGCCATCTTAATTTTAACATCTCTTAAACAAACAGTTTTTGCAGTAGTGGTGACCACAATTAGTTTGCACAGCATCTCTTAATAGGAAACCACATGATTTACAAATAAATTTAACATCAATCTGTGCAGAAATAGGAATATTGTATCCAGGCATCTCCTCAAAGCTAGGTTTGCAATGAAATGAACAGAAAGAAGATTCAGGCAGGATTGCTAAATTGCAAGTTTAATCCTCATGTTGTATGAACGTATCACATCACTTCATTCATTATTATACTTTCCTGACTAAACTTGATTTTTAATTGATTCTTGCTGCGTGAAATTTCAATAAAGTACCTTGTATTACAAAGTAAAAACTAAAACTTACTAACTATACATTCCTCCTAATTTATATTGAGTAGTTATCATGCTGAGGAACATTTTCATTAATGCATCGAAGGATAAAACTTTTGAAAGTAATTTATCTAACCAAGAAGTATAATCCAAGGGATTAATACCATCAATTTTTGGTCTTCCCCGGTCCATTTTGTTGTCATTGCAATGACAAGGAAGGTATGCCTTCCAATCCACAACCTAATTGCTGATGACATAACTTCTCCTCGATGTTCATGAGATAAACAAACGCGAATTTACACGGCTTGTCAAGTACAGAAATGAGTTCACATCAATATCAGTTGCATATATGCATGGATATACAAAATTAAAATTTGTTTACAAATGATCGAAGCCTTAAATTGTTGCGAAAAAGGACGCAACGCCATTTTGGCTATCATGAAATATGCTTCGGCAAGCAGAACATTTTAACCTTCCCTGAAGCATTACGATTGCGTTTTCAAGTACCTACATGCAGGCATACGAACAAAAAGAATACTCCAAGAAGAAGAGAAACTTATTGAAATATAAAACAGTTCAAATAACTAAGGACAGCAGCAGTATCAAGTATATGATCGAGTTTAGATCCGAAAGCCAAAAGTCACACTAAGGAAAGTCAAAATGGCCTCCACGTCGCTTCTCACTTTGTCGCGTCTCGTCACACCAGCTTCCATTTTTGTTTTGATTTGCTTTTTACTTCCTTTTAGAAACTTACAGTGGTGCTGGAATCTGTGGTTTTATTTCGAAGGCTAAAATCAAAGCATTTCTTAGTCTCTGATCAAAAACTTATCACTGAAAAATAGCGGCGGTTCTGTAATTCTCGTCTGTGATATGCATTTGAACAAAATAAAAAATTGCACTAGGTACAGTCTTGTTTCCGATCATGAATTGAGAGTGAACACTTAATTCCCCTATAGAACGGCTTCAAAAGGCTTCGTTGGGAAATGAAGCTCATAAAAGAAATTACGCACCTGCTGTACTAATGCGAAATAGTGCATCCACTGTGATATTTAACAAACCAGTTTCAGGAGAGAATCGTAAAATGTGTGCTTTCCTACTTCCCAGTCCCTTGCAGCGAATAGATAATTGGGGGATTCCCCGAAAGACCCAAAACGAAACGTAACAAAAAGGAGAAAAAAAAAAAGCAACTTTCCACGCTTTTAAGAAAAAACTGGAAGATACTCTGAAAATCTCAAGTAATATAACAACAGTGATGAGTTGCAAAGATCATGGGTTTACTTTGATTTGAATTTTTAGAAACTCGATCTTTTGAACCTTTATATGTCTTGGGAGGATGTGATCTTACTTACTAGTAAAAGCATCCACTCGACTTGCGAAGTGCTGGGGAAGGGGAACCCACAGCAAATCGAGTGAACATTTGTATTGTTTTATTTTAATTGAGAGGAAATATGTCAGACCAGGATATTTAAAAACCCTTTCTCATTGCAATAAACTTCTAAAAGTATTACGAAATTAAGGAAAGTATCACGAATTGTTGGCTGGAGGATCGAACAGATCACGTACTTGCCAAAGAAAAACAGGACTTGAGACAGATAATTGACCTGTAACGATATTTTGAGATCACTGAATTCTATTATTGTTTCATCAGCCTATCACCACGCAAGTCTATGATAATTATTTTTGGGAATATTTTCAGACAAATTTTAGAAGCAATCTGGCATTTTTGAAGGACTCGTATGTGTAATGACATATAGGTTTGAATCTTGATGATGAAATGTAATGGTTTTTTAATTTATTACATCCATTTTGAAATCACTGGTGGTTCCTGTAATCTGATTGGCTCTAATTGGTGCGATTTATTCACAAATCGCACCATTTTTTGCTCTAAATCGCATCATTTTACGCTTGACTGAGTTTTTGACACATGACGTCAAAGTCTTTCTGTTTTGCATACAAAATAAGATGTAAAAGCGTTCCCGGTTTCGCTTTTTATTTAAAAACCGGCTCAGTACTGCATCAGTAAAATATATGAATTGACCAAGTCCTGTATTTGGCCCATTTCAAAATGGATGTAAAAAAGAGGTAATTGAACCTAGTGTCGTGCAATTTTGGTCTGAAATCGTACTTGTGATTTTAAATCACGCGTATAATTTCAGCCCAAATTGCACTCCACTCAGTTCAATTACCATTATTAATAGGCTTCCATAATGTCAAGCGCATTGGGGTTAGAAATGCGCTTAATAAGAATCTATTTTTTTATTATTATTATACACAACATATAGGCAGAATATCGCTTGCAGAAATGCACATTTGAAGAGTATTATGCAAGAGTATACCGTTTTTAAACTGTTAGATATTTGGAGGTAATGTAATAAGCTCTCGACCGACGGGAAGGAAAGAAAAATTAATCACACATTAGTAACATCAAGTATCACATGAAACGATTGGAGTAAAAAGGAGAATGGCATGCGCCTGTAATATTATGTCAGACTCAGACCATTACGATTGATAATTTCAGTGAATGGTTACATCAGCTCATGGCATATACAGATGCTTCAGCCTACAGAGCAGCAGGTGTGATTCTTGGGGTTTCTCCTCCGGGCCAAGGCAAGCTTGGAGGGATGATAGATAAGGGGTCATTCGCGAGGCGAGCTGTTCCCCTCACCTATAACGCCTAAAAAGCGCGAATAAAACTACGGATTTACAAATAAATTTAACATTAAACAAATAAATTTATCATCTTTCAAGGTAGCCCTTTAGCCGACGTTCAGTTAATAAAAACAGCGTGGTAGTAACGGCGGAGTGAAAAATGGAGAGGTTTGCGTCGGGTCACGTGACCAATGAAGGATCTAGGGTAAGGGCACGCGCACGCCTCCCCCCCCCCCCCTTAATTTGAGTAAAGATAAAACAAGAGGGGAGAAAAGCCAGTAGGTAAAAACACACGAACAAAAACGGGCCCCAACCTCCCTTAGCTCAAGGTTTGGATCCGCCATTGGTAACAACCCAAACCTAGTATCCCTTTTATTTTCGACACGACTCAAACCTCCCTCCCACGCTCCGTTTAACAAGTGAACAAGACACTATAACCGTTTCGTATTGTCCTTCTCTGCTGTCATTTATTTAAACAGGCTACTGTACGACGAGTTGTCACTATATTCGACGGGATCAATTAAAGAGAACGATGATCATCTGAAAGGGGCTTTGATTGAAACTTTTTTTTTTTTTGGTTGAAGCTTTTTAACTCATCATGAATTTAATCGATTAAAGTAAGAATCTCATGTCTTATCCCTAATATCAGAGGATTGTACCTTCACCATTTAATGGTAAAAACCCCGGGATAAAAGGTTGATCCAATAGGATAATTTCCTGTTTTATTGGCCTTCTTGACAAGAAAATTGATGCAATGCTTATAAGTAACAAAGGAAAGTCACAATTATTCCTTAAACTGGGGAAGGAAAATAAAGCGACAGCGCTTCACTAACGAAAATAATCCAGTAAAATAAGCTAGTTTGACTTGGTGTGTTAATCTATACAATTACTGACTTAAATTTTAAACTGCTCTAAGTAAAAGATATGTCAGTTAGGGTACTTTCACAAAAATATTTGAGTCCATTTGCGTGCTCGGATAATAAATAATCCCTTCAAGAACTCGAAAAAAAAAAGGATAAGCTCTGAGAGTAGGTTGCCTCATTCAGTTTTATGTTGTGGAATAGCATAACTTCGAGTTCAACTTGGTGAAACCCTCGACAACCCACGCATACACTGCTCCCGAAATATGCGCTGTTAGCCGCTTAATTCCAGATGACACCTTGCAGAAAAAGAAACCCAGCCGGCCCCTTGAGCTCTATTTACCCAACTAAGCTAAAAACAATTTTTTTTTCTATCTCAAATACTTCGATCACACGAGGAAAACTATCTTCAAGTCGGTTTCAAGTCGAAAAGTTCTTCCCTGTAGCTAGGAAAGACTGTCCACAGTTTTTCCCCTACTTTAGTGATCCAGCAGACGATTTATCACTGCCAGTTACTCCCAGTTTATTAATTGCTTTAGCTATGGGCGTATAAAGAACTCACAAAGAGAACCTCACTTAACAAACAAAAAGCGTTTCCAGTGTCTACCGCGGGGAGGTCAGCGCAAAAGACACCAAAAAAAGACGATGAAGCACAGTCGAAATTCTCTGATTGACCATCTCAAGAAACCACTCAGTTTCGAAAGATATCCAAAATTTTTCTTGTGACTGACATCACCATATCAGTCAGCTCTCGTAGCGAGGCTGAAGTTAAAGATAGTCTTAAAGGAGATTCGGATGCACTATGATCGTTCACGGAGAACCCTGCAGACGTGACTTCGTACCTGTTAGATGTTTCAAAACCTACTTCCAACAATGGCACAACTCTCTCCACAAAAATTTTGAAGAGTCTCTCGATGGCGCCGGAGTCCAACTAAAGTCTAATTTCTCGACGCACCAAGGAAAGGCATTCCACAACATAAAAACAAAAGAGAAGCTCGCCTACACTGTAAGCATTCGTTTCTTCAAAATCAAAAGTATGTTTACCGACGATAATTACTCATTTTATCTTCGTTGATTCAAAATCATTGATCATCATTCGAAACACATGCTTAAGGTTATCAATTTAGCCTTATTTCACGTGTACCCCCAACTAATTAATAAGTGGGTAAATGTTAGCTTATCGGAACAGATCACTAAGTAAGAGTTGCGCAAACAATTCTTGCGGTTTTCAATCGTAACCTCAAAACTGCACTTCAAATCAACCAAACGTAAGAAAAATAGTTGGATCGTCAACTCCGGCTGATATCACTCTACATTACGTTAACTTCTTGGCACTGTATTTCATTCGCTAGAGCAATTAGCTACCGAGTTACCTGTTTTAAAAAAAAAAAACATTGCACCTAAATCAATCGCATAGCAATTTAAAGATAAATTATAAATCCATAAATAATGAAATTACATCTAATTCAGTCAGAGACAAAATAATACTATTTACCAAAGCTCTGAATGGTGAACATCGATCGTGAGAGAGGGTAAAAGTGTATTCTGTTGCCGACTTGACAGAGAGCAAGCTGACAGCTTCAACTGTCATTAGGGTAATAAGGGGAAAAAGACTTTCCTTTGCATCACACTGAGATCCGAAAATAAATCAAAATACAAATTGTCCTGCCAAACGAAAAAAATTACAAGATCATTTCAGGTACAAAACAAACGACAACACCTGCCATGTATCACCTATGCACCGATACAAGCCACGTCAGAGCAATGGAAAAAGTAAATTTAAAATGAAGGTAATTTCAAAACAAATAACACACCATTACTCAAGGTTCCCTTCACAGATCAGACGTATCCACAATTACTTTCAGAAACATAGCGTCGTCCCTAACATATGCATGATTATTCAACTCAGCAAGCGAACAGAACATAGGGCATCCACTGGCGATGTTTGTTTCTCTTCTTGGCCTCTGGAAGGATGAGCTGTTCGGGTCAGGTCTAAAGGCGTCAATTACGTGTTCTACGTTATCCTGATCCAGCAACATGAAAGTGACCTTTTGTCTGAATGGCCAGCGGAGCAGTGCGTCATACTGCCCACGCATGACCACAAAGAAGATCGAGATGTGCGTTCCTCTGCCCATTCCATCGCCGTTCAAATAGATGCGGGCGCACATTTTGTAGCCATAGCGACTGGTGAAGAAACAAGGGCTGTAGAAGGAGACTTGCTGACCTGTCACTGCGTCATTTCGTTTGCGAGCATAATCAGAAATCTTCCACAACAGCTGGCCATCGTAGCTTGAGAATTCTTGCTGTCTTACATATTCCTCCAAATCAGCCAGAGTCACATTTCTAAGAGCCAGTGTGTGCTCAATAGATTCGAGTCTTCGGTCATGCCTTCTGGAGCTCTCCTGGGTTGTGTCGAGTTGTCGTTTCATAGTACCCAAATCACGTCTAACTTCCTCCACTGTGCGATTGTTCTCTACCAGAAGAACTTCATGATCGGCGATTCGGTTTTCAACGTTGGTAACTCTTCGTGTAATTTCAGGGTTTTGTGTACCGCCACTGGACTCATCAGGTGTTTGGAAGGAGGAAGCAGCACCGTACAGATTTCCTGAAGCTACTTTTCTCTCCAAGGCGGTGATTCTCTCGCCGTGCTCTTGAACTTTTCCGCGTAGATTACTAGTTCCACCGGCCTGAGTTTGAACTTGAACGAGAATATCAGCAATTACACTGTCGTAATTTGAAACGATTTGCGGATTTCTAGACATTATGCCAGGATCTCGTACTAAAAGTGCCTCCACTTCTTTGCTGGTTCGAAGGGCATAACGTAAAAGTAGATTGGTGTGGAGTGCATTATGTTCCTTTAGGTGCTCTTTCTTTTGTGTTTGGGTGAGGACCTGCGATGCAAGAGTGCGGTATAAAATAAGATTGTAGTCTAGTCAAACTCGAAAGACGATTTAGGGCAGACACGTGATAAGCGCTGAATCTACGTAGAATAAGTTCATGCAGGAGCTACATTACTATTACAAATCCTACTAATGACTAATGACAAAACTCGCACAAAAGCAGTATCCCACCAACGGTTCCAATCTCTTTTTCTATCAAACTGACCTTATGCAGACCGAACGTAAGTTCTTATGTGTCTCTTTACATCTTTACATGTACCTCAGTTGTAGAGCAGCCAATCTGTAAAAATGGGCACGGTCCCTGAACACTATCACAGTCTCCCATTATTGGATCTTGATGCTGTAATAACTGAAATGTAAAACAAAAGAAGGGAATGCTGAGTTATAAATGTTGTTACCTTTTATTGAACATTTTCATTTTTGAAAAAGATTTCTCGTTCTAGTGTTGGGAGGCCTGTGCCTCCCATAAGGCATAGCGGGCTCAGAAAACACGAGGAGAATGATGTCTTCTTGTTGGAATTTTCATTAGCTTGACTGACTACGGATTACTAAAGCTCGTACATAAACGAATCGTGTAAGTGATCTCGATTGTTTGGAGTTTATAAATAAATTGTGGCTTTGCGACTACAATAAATACAAGGCTTTTCACGTGAAAAAGCTGCCATGTCTTGAGAAACTAACTACTGCAGTTTAACAGGCCATAGAAATTTCACAACACAATTCCATTTCTGTAGAATAGCACAAGCAGTGAAAAATTTGCTTCTCCACATCTCGTACATTGTTTTCCAGTTTTAGCATTACTATTACTTACGTCCAGTTGGGAAAACTCCGCGCTTAAAATTTCATTCACGATGAGAAACACTGTGTTGTTGTTACATAGGAGGGAACGTGTTTTTTGTGGCTCATAAAAACGTATCAGAGAACACGTCGTAAATGGTAAGCTGTTCGTAAACATTTTTTCCGCACGTTGAAAAATATTTGAAGCTCACAGTTCTTTTCGAAGCTTAAAACTTTCCTCGTGCGAAACTGTTCGCATCTCGGAACAGATAATGTCTGCGGATAAATAGCCATGAATATTTTCGCACCAATTAGAAGATAATGATTATATGATACTAAATGTTCAAGAAGAATAACCTTTTCAATGATTGCCTCATAACTATTACTAGACACCAACTTGATAGTTTTATCCCTACATGATGGTGCCGCACATCACATGTTATACAATCATGTACTTCCCCTGGATGCAAGAGATCAGAAGAAACTGACAATCTGTGGTCTTTCACTTAAGAGTAAAAGTTGTTTATAATCTTTACCATAGCGATAAATATCATTTGATTCTAAGCCATACTGACAGTAGACTGTCAAATAAATCTCTCCCAAAGATTTGGTGACTAGAACTGAAATTTAATTTCTATTTTACCTTTGCTCTTGGAATGTCATTCTTGCCGCATTTTGAACATACAACTGGATATACTGGGCAATCTGTCTCTTGATGATGCTGCAAAACCATAGAGTTTGAGAGAAGAGAACACTTTTCACTAGGATATATTAAATGCCATGGATAGGAATACATTAAGTACCTTTACACTATTACAATGGCTCAAAGAGCGACATAATATCATTCTAATAGTTTTTCTCATCAAGTCTTCAAAATTTCTTCCACATAAAATGTGAACAAGAGACCTGATATTTGGTTCTTCAGGATGTAAAATTTTGGCTGATGAAAAAAACAATCACCAACAGACAGCCTTAACAATCAATGTCATAAGTACTCCAATGCCCTAAGCAAAAGGTACAAAAATGATTGCAAAGGAGGGCATGGTTGAAGGTAGAAAGTGAATAAGAAGTAATACATGGGCTGCAAAGTTTATTGCTGATCCATTAATGTTTTGTAAGATTACATGCAAGACTGTGAACTATTCATTAAAAATGTCAGAGGTACTCCAAAATGAGATACAATGAAATATATGAAGTTCAAAATATTAACACAAATCTTTTGCCAAATTCTGAAAGTGGAATCAATTCCTACATGTACATCTAAACTAGCAAATGGCTGCTGTATAAAGTTCTTCCTTCATTAATTCAATAATTGTACAATTTTTCACCTAAACTTGAGGTGAAAGGAGCAGCTTAAGATGGTAGACTTCATGTAGCTCTGCTAGTACAGTGTAGTTTTGGGGAGCTGGATGTTATTGAAAGCTCTATAAAAGAAGCCCTTAATTCCTGAGTTTTTGCCAATCTTGTGAATGCAGCAAAAAAAATTTCCTACTTAAAACATATAGCAAAAAAGCATGTACATGGAAGTAGCCTTATAAAAGAAAAAAAAAGAAAAAAAAAGAAAAAAAAAAAAAGAAAACAAGGCTAAGGAAATGGATAAAATTTGCCTACTTCTTTACCACAAAACACCTGAAATTAAAGTGTAGCTTATTCAAACCATTGTGTGGAGGCGCGGTGGCCTTCATAGTTGGTGCGCTCGACTCTGGATCGAGTGGTCCGGGTTCGAGCCCCGGCTGGGACATTGTGTTGTGTTCTTAGGCAAGACCCTTTACTCTCACAGTGCCTCTCTTCACCCAGGTGTATAAATGGGTACCGGCAAATTTAATGCTGGGGGTAACCCTGCGATGGACTGGCATCCCATCCAGGGGGGAGTAGAAATACTCCTAGTTACTTCATGCTTCAGAAACCAGAGTTAAGCAATGGCCTAATGGGCCACTAGGCTCATAAACAGACTTTACCTTTTTACCTTATTCAAGCCATTACTGGTATTACTATTAATTTGCTAGTCCCATAATTTCAATATTTCCCGCCTTAATCACACAAGTACTTTGGCTGTAATAAAAACCCCCTTTTCTCATAATCAAGGACTCTTATCCAACTAAACTTGTCATACATTCTGCACAGCACACAGTACCTTCATCTTGTTAAGATTGATTTGTTTCTTGCAGAAGCTGCAAGTTTCCAATCTGCACTTGCATTCACTTTCCAAATGTTGAGTAAAATCTGATTTCTGTACTTGTGCGCCACACTCAGGATGTACACAAGGGATTCTTAGGAAATCACAGGTACTCATATGGCTCTGTTTTGAGAAACAAGTAAGAGAAGTTTTAAAAATGTTATAACTTAGTCACTGACTCAACTTTACCTACTACCTTAAATCTTACGAGCATGCACAAGTACAATACAATTAGTTCTTCTACTGCTTCATTCAGTCACATGGAAGACTAAACACTTTCATTCCACAATGAGTACTTTTTTGTTCTGATGAGTGCTACTTAGTTATCTGATTTTAAATGTACTGTAATACATAAAAAAAAAATTATACATATATATATATAAAACTAAATAATTAAAAACTGAATCACTGGATAATGCAATTCAAAAGTTTTCATTGGCTTAGCCATCATGAGTTATGAGCCATTACGCTATGCACACACAAAGATGACTTGAAATGAAAGTGTTTTTGTACACTGTAACATTCCATTCGTTCTCACAAATAAAGTTGGGTAGATTCATCTTCGATTTGGAGCATTTTTATTCAAACAACTATTCCACTCTGTTTGTTGAATATGAGATGATTATAGCCAACTTGTTCCTATGGACCTTTTTGGCTATCTATTAGCTCATATCCAAGGCATGCTTGTGGGTTAAGATTAAACAGTGATTATGATTTAAGTTTGGGTTGAAATCATTTGCAAGATTAAAGCTTCTGAAAAACAGTTATAATTAAATGGGAATTGAAAGTAACCAAGATTCATATCACTTCCTAATTTCACCTTACAAGTAAATGCATGCTTCAGATTTCCATATATGGAATATGATCAAAAGCACAATACATGTGCACAATCAGAAAGACAAGAATGCCTTCCCAAATATCTTCTTTATTAAAAGCCATACATTTGTAAGATTTCACACCAATAAGGGTAACATGTTTGCCAATAAATGTGCAAAGTTTTGTGAATATTCACTGCACTCTTATTTTTGATGAAATTTTTGTTTTACAAATATGGCCGTCACACGTAACAGTACATTATATCTAGACCAAAACGTGCATTATTGTTTTTAAAAATCTTAAAATTACAAAGACCAATCATACTTTCAACCTAATAAGTCAAATTTACAAAAACTAGAATCTGTATGGTTAAAATTCCAAAAAAGCACCTTGTAGTTATGGAATCATGCTCCTGCTCTCAGCTTCTGCAGTTGAAATTAAGTTTCATAGACAAGTTGCAAAAATGAGGTGATCAATAAAAATACCACCACAGATGGCATTCTCACTTTCTAACGACTCTTTCCTGAAAATATGAACAATCTGGGGCCACTCACTCCAGCACAATAAGAAAAAGTCTGAATCTCAGGCCTTGTGATATGCTCCATGACTTGATGCGTTATTCAAAAGCATCACACAAAGTCAAAGTCTTCCCAAATGCCTGGAATGGATCCAAAACCTTCGAACTGCCACCACATTAAAATCTCATCTCAAAATGAATGTTCATGAGCATTTCCACATTAAAATATAAAGTAGGTAGCTCACAAGAAGAGTTTTTCTAAATCCCAAGCCCTGTGAAACACTTCTTCATGAGTGTCCTATTATATGTAGGATTTTCTCACACGAAAGGCAGCGAAACAGCATGAAAACTTCACCATGATTTCCAGTGATTCCTTCATCGAAACAACTACACGTGGCCTTATAAAACCACACAAGAAGGTTTCAGAAGCTTTTTGTTGCATAATAACTCTGAAAATAGCTGTGAAACATGCAGAAAAATGTGTTTTTCAAAGCAAATGTCCCTCAGGTTAGGAGGTCAAGTTGGTGACAAAAGGCGAGTTTATGCAATGGAGCATGAGAATAAAGCAGAATTAATGAAAAAATAGAGAGAAGAACAAAAGTAAAAGAAAAATGCAATCAAAAAAGCCCACTAGGAAAAAAAACCAAAAGAAGCTAATACAGATTACTAGATATTTTACAAAAATTAGGAAGCTACCATAGCATCATGGGTATGACTAAAAATGCTGACTACAAAGCTAAAGCTAAGCAAAACATAATTATTCATACCCTTAGTGTGTTTTACTGTGCAAATTAAACTGTTATCATGACTTTTGAGAACGTTTGCATTTTTGATGCATGTTATACAACTGTACATGTGTATTGTGCTACTGATGATATACATGTTTCACCCAACATACACGTATTTCAAATTCTTTAATTCAAATTCCTTATACGTGTCCATAAATCAATAGCCTCAAGTTTACAGGTAAGCATCATACATGTACACTGAAACAGATAACATTAAGTTTAAGTAAAAAAACAACATAAAAGAGGGAGTCAACAGTATTCAGAAGATGTCCATTTACCTCTAGGTGTCTCACTTCACCTTTCCAATTACAGCCATCCTCCTCAAATGTACAGTGAACAACAAAGGCTTGTACCTCACGTCTCATAAAGTTATCAGCAAACACCTTACAGTAATTAAGGGGGAGATGCATATAGTTAAAGATTTTAGATTTAATTATTGTTGGGTTTAAAGAATGTCTTTCTACATTGCATTTAAATATTACATATAAAGCAATAAGAATGTCAAAGGTAAAATATGGTATGATATGGTGAGAGCAGCAATTGCCACCTCATAAATAGAAGACAATTGCTATTTTTTCATATTCCTGTAAAGTAGCCTTTCTGGCCCCTAGAACATGTTTAAAATGATCAAATTGTCATTCAAACGTGAGGCTAAGAAGGCTTATGGCATGTATATAAAAAAAATAATAACCCTGTAACTCTGCCTACAATCATGAAAGAGGTCTATAATTCCCCTTTACACATATATGAACCGTATGCAACCAAATTCCTGCCAAAATTATCCACACCATTCATAACAATTCTAGACTATATGTATCTATTTTGCTGGATTTAAGATTGAAATGTGCATAAAAACAATCTTTTCACTTCAAATTTCATTTGTATACCATGGACACTCTCATACTTGACATTCTTCACATCTCAATAGTGTCCTCAGAACAGTGATGAAAACAAAATTTTCATGGACAGCCACATTTCTTGACTGTTTTAACAATCAAAGAAAAAACATTTTTCATAAAATATGGTATAACGAATGCCAATAAAATTTGTGTCAACGATTAGATCTCACCTCATTTGGAAGAAAATCTGTCTGATCTAATACACAAGTCATTACGACTGACCCATTTCTGAGAATGTGAAAAGCAAAAACTATTTTTAACAGCACAGATCAAATCTCCAAAAGTTCAAAGCAACATTATTTCTTATCACAACTTACACCTGTAACAAACTTACCGGAATAAACTGGCAAGGCATGAACTACAATAAAAATGCCCACATTTACTTTGCATAGCATCCCTCAACAGCAAATCACAGGAGCTACACATGTACTTTGATCCAAGTCTCTCCTTTTCTGAACTTGATAATATGTAACCTGGCATACTTGAATAACTGGGGGCCTTCAACCAAAGATAGCAGTTTCAACAACAATAATATGTAACAATACCTTTATTAAAACTTGAATTCAAAACATTAATTTAGTGGTGGTCTTGATTTTCTCATCAAATGCAATTGTCTTAAAAGTCTCTCAACTTTGACAATCTGCTAGAATTCTACTGCACATTTCTAAATTACTGAAAGGAATTCAAAGTTCAACCATAAGCAAAGAGAAACCTACAAAACAATAATTAATCTACTTTTTCATTTATCAATTGCAAGAGTAAAGTTAGTATTGCGAGCAATGGCAATGTACTCTAAGCTGTAAGCTTCATACATGGCATTATTAATTAAGAATGTAACATTTTATATTGTAAGCTGCATTAGTCCTGAAAGTTTGTTATTATTGTAAGTAATGTTAAATAGCAAAAATAGCAACATGATGAATGAAAAAATAGATGTTACACATATCAGCTGAAGGAGGGGGTGTAACACATATCTATGAACAAATAACTGAATAATAACAATTTTAATGCTTATAAGTCCTTAAGTGGGGAAGATGTTAAATTTTGAGCAGGGTAAAAGAAGGGTGTTTTGTTTTTCTGTCTTGTCACATGCTTGTAACATGCAATATGCAGGACTTATGTAATGCATGAAAGTTACTGCACGTTTCAATTTAACAGTGCAATGAAAGAAGCTACAGCAACTACCATGCCAATTAACAAGCTCATCAAAGCAACAAATTTTTGGTGGCATTACATGTAACGGTAGGTAACCACAATGTAGCATGATTTAAAGAGGATGAAAACCATAGGTACTAGAAGTTGAAATTCCACTTATGAGAACTTTAAAGAGTATAAGTGGTCAGTAAAATCAAGCTTCAATGTGCATATACATTTTATATATTTACACAGTAAATATCGTAAATCTTTGTTCTCCTATCTAGACTCAGTAGTAATAGTCCACATCAGCTGTACAGTTGCTTATTTCAAACCTACCTATAAAATAAATGTATGTATGTATGTATGTATGTATCATAAACATAATCATCGAAGACAAAAGGCAGTGTTCAGTTTCCATCGATTTCTGGGACGTGCACTTGTAACAGGAGATCAACATATAATACGATGACGGTGATAAGTTTGGATTTTTTAGCTTAACCTTAAATTTAGTTGGTTTTTTTCTGTATTTTTGAGGGTAATGCGGGCTTAGACATGGAAGAGTTGATTACCTAGTTTTCTTTCCTTAAATCCAGTATTCCAACGGTGTATCTGCAGTCGATCGGAAGACACTAAAAAGGAAAATTATTTGAAGCAATTTAAGCATATAATTTGGTAAACCAAATTTCTTTTACAATACTGACAGAAATACAAACCATATTTAATCGAGAAAACTATGCTCTCGTTGCAAAAGGGTGATGCTATATCGAAGGCACTCGTCGAGGGTCGAACACACAAATTTATAGTACAGCGGTTAAAAATAAAATATGTCATGTAAGCTGTACCACTTATTCCCAACGAAAACTTCAAACCCGAAATGTGAAAGATCGCACTGAACAAAGTATAAAGATATACAAAAACTAATACAAATGTTTTCAGTGTGTTTGAGCTAATTTACAAGGTTGTCAATGCGCTAATAAACCTAACAGTAACGTTTGAATTTTAGACGGTAGCTTCATCTCTTAAAAAGTAAAGTTTGAGAGAGATTCTCCTTGGAGCGTTAAGTCAATTTTTTTAGTAATGTAATACGAAAAACTTGTCAACACTGAAACATCAAATGATTCGTAAAATAACGAACAAGATTTTCAGGAATTGTACACAGCCTAGCCTAGTCTTAAGTCAGTCCCACACTAGGAAGAATCTTCTCCAATATCAATTTACGTCACTAATCTGCAACGATTTTGTAAAATTAACTAAAATCTAGAATTAGGGTTCTAGATTTGCCATTCACCTTTCTCTTTTCTGTATAGTTTTAGATATGCTTTTACTTATCAGATTATTAGACTTTGAATCTGTTCAGATTTGACTCCGTTATTTATAGT